TCACTATTAAAAAAGTTTTTTTTTAAATATAAGATTAAAAAAAAACTACCTACAAAGGTTTTTTGCAATTTAGGACACTTGATCCAAGTGTTTTTTGAATTATATCCCTATTAAAGTAATAAATAAATAATTATATCCCTTCAAAAGGGACATAATTGATCTGTGAAATTTTATATGCTAAATTGTTTAGGGACCCATCCTTAGCCACAACCATAGAACTTCTCAATATGGGTAACAACAAACTTTCACATATGGAAATTGGTCGCCAAGATATCAATAAGAAAAACTTTATTGTAGTTTGGAACATTCCTCTGAACACAAAACTTATTGAGATAAAACAGACCTTTTCCAAATATGGCCAAATTCAAGAAATCACCATGAAAACACAAAACCTATGGCAATATGCCACAATCACTTTTGAAGATCTAGAACATAAGGAAAAGCTGGTCAAAACCAGAAGCATACTTATTAAAGAAAATTCAGTAAGAATCAATGATGCAGTATGAACACTCGAACAAATGAAACAAAGACATGAAATCACAGCGAAATTGACAAATCTCTTCAACACAACAGCATGGAATATTAAAAATATTCTCATGCAATATAAAGGTCGCACGTACTATATTCCCAGATCTGCAAACAGGTGATACAAACCCAAGAGATTTGCAGTTATAAGTTTTAAAACATAAGAAGACTTACTAACACTAGTTCAAACACAATACACCCTAGGAGAAACAACTCTCTTCTTCATCCCAATCTCAACAAAGCTCTATGCGATATGTGATGCAACCTTCCACCTAGCCAAAGAGTGCCCCACCAAAGAAAGACACTATCAATGGAAAACTTTTAGCAACCAAGTTCAGAAATCTATATGACAAATTCAGACTAGCAAAAACAGCAAAAATTCACAACATTTATAAACCTAGACCATCAAGAACACCAAGAGTAGAAACATACACAAGTATAGTATCCCAAATAACTAAAACAGAAAAAGACAACCTCACAACTTTTAACGATATCACACAGACCTGTGAGTCTATAATGTAGTGGTTAACACTCCACAGGTCAAATCACAAGATACCAGTTCAGTGAGGAAAGAGGAGTTTTCCACTTAAGTGATTACTGTGCCTAGCCGGCTTTTGCTTGCCTTTTACTATAGTATTATTTTTTGCCTAGCTGGAGATTCCAAAAACTTAATTTCGAAAACATACATTTTACTTTTTAGGCCTCATTTTTGTTATATAAAAAATATATTGTATATCTAAATATATGCTATCTTTTTTATTACTATTTAGTTTTCTGTCATGGAGGAGCATAGCGACTCCGGATGCGAAGCGTAGCGAAGCATAGTTATCTATTTTAACAACAATTTAGCTTTTTATAACTAAGGAGCATATATCCTTAGGTGTGTGCGACGTAGTTGCGAAATGTAGCGGAGCATCTAGTTAGCATATTGCTTTCTAATACTCAGAAACCCACCTTCTTATGGTTGAATTACACAAGAAAAAAAAGAAAAATATAGGTAACTGTATATGCCTTTTCTTTTAGCTAGAATGAATTTTATGATAGTGTTTCAATGTATAATAGCTACCAGCATGTTTTTTACATAGCCCAGGTTCGGCACCAGTAGGTTTACCACATACAAGACAGGGTTCATGAAATTTTGACAAATAATGCTCCCAACAGCCTTCAGCTCTGTGACAACGTCTGTTACATAAAGAGTCATTATTGTGAAGGTATCGGCAAATATAGAGTAGCATTGATATATATTATTAATTAATTAATTATTCATTAAATATAACAAATTTCAATTTAGAAAAAAGCATGGTTATATGTAACAAACAAAAAAAACGATACATTTATTATGACTGAACAAAATATCAATATCAATTTTATTACAGCAAAAGATATCGAAAAAGCATTGCTTGGAATCTTAAATTCAGCAATTCATCGAAAATTTAAAACTAATAGCAAATTCGTTAAAGATTATCTTAGTTATGTGACTAGATTACAGTTGGCAAAAGAACCAGAGAAGTACAGTATATCAGATATAAAGCAAGGCAACTTATGCCAGATGAGGAATCATACAATAGAAGAATAGAGTATATTCATGGTCACTATTCAGGAGAATTACGTGAAAGACTTGAAAAATTATATAAGCTTTATTATGAATTAGCTCAGGAGGAAGAAAAATATGAAATTTCTGAGATAGATACAAGCGAAATTATTAAGGGTCTTCTCAAATTGTCTATCGAATAACTAATGTTATCTTGATGAACCATTTATGTAATCTGTGTGACCTATATTGCATGTACGATTTCTCACATATACCACTGATCCCCCTCAATTGATATGGTGCCGAAAATCTATAAGCGTCAATCATGTGATTAACAAACCAGGAATTCTTAAAATGCTAAAACTTTTTACACGGACAATATTTCAAAAAAAACAGATCGATAACTTTGTAGTGCTTATTATAAAG